GCAGAAATGACAGTGGTAAGTAAGCGCGTGGGAGATCAGTGGGCGCCGCCTGACCCTCCTAACATTTTGCAGAGTTGTAAGTCTCATCCTTAGCTAACCATGGGTAAGTGTTCGGGGTTGATATTTGGCTTTGAGCGATAAAGAGATCATTTCCATATCAAAACCGACTTCGTTTTTACAAAATATGTACTAGATACACATATGTTGGCCAACCTTTGGAGAACTCAGACATTAACTTTATAAATAGAAAGATAGCCCTATAAAACTTACGCCTCAAATTATCTTGCTTTCAGGAATCGTAGAAATATTTTATGTTGATTTGTGGGCATTAGAATGGATATAAGTCATCCAGTTGACTGGATGTACTCTGCCACAAGCCATGATGTTTGGGTAATGGAAAATGAGATCTCTTCCTACGTCTCTTGTTTGATTTGTAATCTGAACCGGAAACCTGTCCATAACCATTCTTTTATTTTATAATGACAAGGTAAACTATAACTTACGATAAAACCAAGAAGCAGCATCCAAGTGGTTCCACTAAAGAAGACAGAAGTTGATATATTTAAATCAAGATTCCTCTAAAGCCCCCTCTGTGCAAAAAAAAAAGCAGACACTTTCAATGTGACATGCTCTCTAGGTCTTGGCATTCATGGTAACTAAGGAGGGAAAGGATTTAAAAGCTAAAAGTCAATCATTTTAAAATGATAAGGGGAGCCTGGCTGGCGTGGCTCAGAGGTTGAGCATCGACCTAGGATCCAGGAGATCGAGGTTTGATTCCCGGTCAGGGCACAAGCCCCGGTTGGGGGCTTGATCCCCAGCAGGGGGCGTGCAGGAGGCAGCCGACCAATGGCTCTCATCATTGATGTTTCTCTCTCTCTCCCTCCCTCTCCCTTCCTCTCTCTCAAATCAGTAAAGACATATTTTTAAAAATAAATAAAAATTTAAAAAATAAAACGATAAAGGGCAAAGACAGAAGAAATCCCATCAAGTTGATGATCAGTGAAGTTGCTGGTGACCAGGAAGATGAACCCTTTTCAGACGTAATAAGTGCACCTAATACTCTGTGGATGAACACATCGGGGCCTGTACATCACTATTGGGGTTCAGGAGTGGAGAGGAGTGGGGTAAAACGGTAAAAAGCTTCAGAAGGGCCAAGGTAAGCATGCTCCGTGAAAATGCACCGCGAAGACCAGCGGGATCACCCTGGAAAGTGCTGGGTCATCAGATCAATAGACGCGTAGATGACTAAGTTAGGTTGCTTTATGCAGTTTAAACATTTGTGCACCGAGCCTCCCCACGCAGCCTTTTATTGACAGCTGCGGATCAATGGTAATTTTTGATCAGTTTCAGCCTACATAAACCTATTGACCCCGCGGCCACCTTTGGGGCACTTCACGTCGTCAAAAATAATCAGAGGAGGTGGGGTAAAATTGTCAGACGGCTGAAGACGCCGAGTAGTTCATGTGCCCCCAGCAGCAGCCCAGAGGCTCCCATGTAGTTCAAGTCGCCCGCAGAGCCTCGCCTGGCAGCGTGTCNCAGAGGAGGTGGGGTAAAATTGTCAGACGGCTGAAGACGCCGAGTAGTTCATGTGCCCCCAGCAGCAGCCCAGAGGCTCCCATGTAGTTCAAGTCGCCCGCAGAGCCTCGCCTGGGAGCCTGTTCCAGGGAGTCTGGTCTGTACGTCTCGGGAAAGGGCGCTCCGCTTGGCATCCAGACCCTGACCCTTCTGCGTATAAGCTAAAAATAATCCAGGTCTCATTGGAAATAGCCGGTTGGGGAGAAAGGATTATTTCGATTGTCCTTTGTTGAGTCATCCTGTGCATCTGCTACCTAACAAAGTGAGTTCGTAGATTCCTAGAATAAAAAATATGAGTGTCATGTGGATGTGGACCTAGAGAGAAGACAGAAAATGACTTTTCTTGTAAGTGGGTGGGACAGGATGCTACGATTCCAAAGGCAGGAACTAAACCCTAAACATCAAAGGTGGACGGCGCTCACGTGCATATTCCGAGTGGAAAGAAAGGAAAACGAACACGTCACCCGAGGAACAGGACGCAGGCCCACCCGCGGGGTGAGCTTTGCCTGGATTTTCCAGCGCGATTCTCACCCGGTGGACCTGGATGTTGGAAATCTCTTCAGGAGAAAATAATCCAGGTTATTTCCTTAAATGTCAAAGAATGAGTTGGGTCATTTTGCCATTTTAAAATTTTCCTCTGGCCTTTACTAAGCACCGACAAAGGGAAAGGCCGTTAATGAGTTGTATTCAGGGTGTGCATAGCTCTTTATAAATAACAAATTAATACGGGAACTTGTCCTCGGTATAAATTTATATCAAAATTCTCTATTCCATTCCCATCGTGATCGTTTCTGGGGTGTTTTTTAAGGAAATGGGCCAAATTAAGCGAAACAGCGGTTGCCGCCACCTCTGTGGGCGCAGGCCTCTCGCGTTTCTGTGCCAGGCGGGCGTGAACTTCCACTTGAGGTGGCAGGTGTCGCTCCCACCTTTGACGGTGACAGGCGTTGAGGCCGGGGCCTGCCGCGGGCTCCCCCTTTCAGGGATCTGAGCTGAACGTGTGCCTTAGGAGAATCTGTAATGAAACCAGTCGTGTTATTTTTGTAATGGTTGCCTGGCGTGTGCGGGGCGACTGGATGCCAGCCTTTCATCATTAAGTACTCCTGCCACCAGAAGTGTTGGCGAGTATTGCCACCTAGGGGCCGAAGGGGACTCTGGGCTCTGAAATAAACTGCAGTCGAGCAGGTGCTGCTATTGACAATATACATATGTTTTTGCTTTATAACCCACATGCTTTTCATGTTTCTTATGACAAAAGCCATCTCTAAATGTCCCCCAACAGTCTACCTGTTTCATAGGTAATCTGTTGGAGGTGATTATTGTTTGCTTTGGAGCTTATGTTTTTCTTGGCACCTATTACCGGATATTCCGGACAAAGAAGTTTTCTTTTCTGCATTATTAATCTCGCCCGTGTTTGCCCTATTTCCACAGAAAAGGAATCATTTATCAGAAAAGGGTGTTTGTAACCGGGACTTGTAGCATCCTCAGATTTAATATTCATTATGGCCATTCTAGTTCTGCGCCGTATTTATCTAAAAGACCGATCCGGTGTTGTGGAGAAATAAAGTTTTAAATATTTATGATCGAACTTTTAATATTTTAAAAAAGAGGAATTAGTCTTTCTGTAAAATTTGTTTCAGAGTCCGGTCGCTTAGCAAGTGTTTAAATATTAAAAGATATCAGGAGGTGAGCATGTAATATCATAATGGCCCTTATGGAAGCAGGAAAATTGACTTTACTGGTTTTTGATAAGTAGAAGAAATTGTATTCTCTCTGCTTGTGTTTAATACATAAGAAGAAATATTAACACCATTGAAACTTATAACCAAGAATGTGAGGAAACGGTGTCAAAAATTACTTCTGTGATATAACCAGTTGGGGGGGTATTTTGGAAAACGGTTCAGTTTGATTTTGCCACCTTGCTTTAGATTTTGTTCAAAATGGTATTTGGATGTCTCCACATTAAGGAGAATTTCCATACACAGAACTTTGATGCTTTTGGGGTACCTACTCCCAGAAATAACTTCCTCCCCTTCACCCCTTGTTCCCCCTTCCACGGCCACCAAGCGAAGAGGACAGTTGTCACACCTGGGCAGCTAATACGCCAAGGTGACCTCACACGCCATTAGGTATGAACACCCCGTTAAACCAAGGCAGACTTCCTCGGGATTTTTCACACCCGATGGATATGGCACAGAACAGAAAGAACCTATCTGTGTGTAGGGTGTGCGTGCGTGTTCATGTGTGCGTGCATGTGCCGGTACACACGTTACTGGCCCAACTGAAGACATAATTCCTATCTGTAAACACACACATCTTTCCAGTCCAGATGCAGAAGGAGCATCCTGGGCTCTTCCAAAACATTAAGCTCCGGAGCTCCAATTAAGTTATGCAAAATACGTTAAATATTGCTCTCTGAACAGAAAACCAAAACAAAACGAATTTTTTCATATTTTTTCCNGCAGACATAATTCCTATCTGTAAACACACACATCTTTCCAGTCCAGATGCGGAAGGAGCATCCTGGGCTCTTCCAAAACATTAAGCTCCGGAGCTCCAGTTAAGTTATGCAAAATACGTTAAATATTGCTCTCTGAACAGAAAAACAAAACAAAACGAATTTTTTCATATATTTTTCCACCCCCGTTAAATCAACAAAGACCAGATTCTCAAAGCCTAGCTCGCAGTGACTTTTGGTACGTTCCACAGTTTCGGTGATGGCATTGTTATCAAACGACAATATTTCCACACTTGTATCAATAGCAGGTCTCTCTGAGGGTGTCTGCGTTTCATAGGCCAGTTGGCTTATTGTCACCGTGCCCTTGGGTTTGTGTTACTGACGTTGTAAATAAAAACATAAATTTAAGTAAAAACATAAATACACACCGAGAGAATGGGAGAGGGAGATGGGCAGAGTCTTAGTATAAACATGTGGCATGCGGAGCGGATGAAAGAGACCTGGGGCCGTTGGGGATAAGTCTCCCCTGATTCCATTGGCACCTGGGTGACCCCTGAGGCATCATAGAATTTTTTAGGTTCTGTATCACATCCTTTGGGTTGCGAGCTCTGAAAAGGCCAGGATCCTGCCTGNGATGAAAGAGACTTGGGGCCGTTGGGGATAAGTCTCCCCTGATTCCATTGGCACCTGGGTGACCCCTGAGGCATCATAGAATTTTTTAGGTTCTGTGTCACATCCTTTGGGTTGCCAGCTCTGAAAAGGCCAGGATCCTGCCTGACCCATACTTTGCGTGTGTCTGAAATCACGCAACCAGGGTGTCAAGGGCAAGGGAAATGACACGTCGTTTTCTTAACAATTCAGACCTCTGCGGTGAAGCCTGTGCCACCATCACCGGCGTGTCCCAGGGACCGACTTTCCCGCCGTCGTCGGCCGTTTCTAAGAGAAACCTCACCCGCTGGTTTTCTTCCAGGGAACGAGCCGTGAAGCCCACCTGTTCGGGTTGGAACCCTTCACAACATACCACGTTGGCGTCGTGGCCGCAAACCGGGCGGGAGAGGCGTCGAGCCCCTGGGCCCTGGTTCAGACCCTAGAGTCTTCCCCGAGCGGACTGAGCAACTTCACGGTGGAACAGAGAGAGGGCGGCCGGGCCTTGTGGCTGCGGTGGGCAGAGCCCGTGCGGGCCAACGGCGTGATTAAGGTGACCCCCCGAGTATGAAATCACAGGAGCCCCGGCGGGCCATCAGGCCACTGCGGGAAAAGTCCCTTCACGCTCTGTTAATTCTCCTGCCATAGACCTCACGTGTGTATGTGGGTGTGTGGGGGGGTGTGTACGTGTGTGTGTATGTGTGTGTACATGTGTGTGCACAAATGTGGGGGTACAGAGAGAAAACCAGGAAGCTAGCACACATAAAAACAACAGAATTTCAGTGTGACGAATGCTATAAAGAAACTGAAGCGGAATTAATGTAATTACGCCAGCCCAGGCTATTTTATTTTTATTTATTTATTTTTCTATGTTTTTATTGATTTCAGAGAGAGGAAGGGAGAGGGAGAGAGAGAGAAACATCAATGATGAGAGAGTCATCGACTGGCTGCCTCCTGCAGGCCCCCTACTGGGGATCGAGCCCGAAACCCGGGCATGTGCCCTGACCGGGAATCAAACTTCGATCTCCTGGATCAGAGGTTGACCCCATCCACTGAGCCACGCCGACCGCAGCCAGGCTATCTTAGAATGAATGGCAATTTTTTATTCAAGTTGACATTTGAGCAGAGCCCTGAATGACAAGACAGAGTCAGTCATGTGAAGATACGAGAGCGAATGCAAGGCCTGGGGCCAGGGATGAACTTGGTGTCCAGCCGAAGGGAGGGAAGCCGGGGTGGTTGGGGCCCTGCAGGGAGAGCACAGTGGGACCAGAAGAGATGGGAGGTAGATGGCGCCCAGCCTCGTGGGCTGTCATAGGAGTTTGGAATCGATTCTGTGTGTGATGAAATATTACCGGAGGGCTTAGGCAAAGGAAGAGCATCCTCAAATTTATGGTTTTTCAAAATCCCTCTGGCTGCTATGTAGAAAATGGACTCTAAGGAGACCAGTGGAGTTGGGGAGCTATTAAAAAATTCAAGGTTTGCCCTGGCCGGTTTGGCTCAGTGGTTAGAGCATCCGGCCCACAAACTGAAGGGTCCCGGGTTCATTTCCCAAGGGCAGGTACTTCGGTTGCAGGCTCGATCCCTGGCCCTGGTCAGGTGCATGCAGAAGGCAACCCATCGATGTGTCTCTCTCACATCATCAGTGTTTCTCTCCAACCCCCCACCCCGCTTTCACTCTCTCTCAAAAAGCAATGGAAAAAATATCCTCCGGTGAGAATTTATTAAAAAAAAAAGAATTCGGGGTAGAGTTGATGGTGGCTTGCAGCAGAGTGGGAGCTGTGAAGGCTGAGAAATACATTGTCCGTCCCTCTCTGGGCTTACACGTCACACCCCCAGAATTAATATCAGGCTGTTCTTTCTGGATTAGGGTCACGAAGAAGAGGGCTGGCGGCGGGGAGAGGTTAAAAGGGACGAGGTGGCAGCACCGAGAAGCCAGATGCTCAAGTCACCTGCCCTTTGCTTCCCTCCTTGCTGCAGACATACAGCATCTTCAGCGCCGGGCGCCTGGAGTACACGGGCCTGAGCCGCCGGTTTCTGTTCCGCCGCCTGGAGCCCTTCACCGTCTACACGCTGACCCTGGAGGCCTGCACCCGGGCGGGCTGTGCCCACTCGGCGCCCCAGCCTGTGCGGACCCAGGAGGCCCCGCCCCGCTCCCAGCCGCCTCCCGCGGTCCAGTCCGTGGGGCCCACCCGCGTGGAGCTGGCCTGGTCCGAGCCGGCTCAGCCAAACGGGAAGATCATTGGCTATGAAGTGATCCGAAGGTGCTCCGAGGGCAAAGCGCGGGGGATCCAGGCCGCCTGGGCCGATGAGAAGGTGGTTTTCACAGAGCACGAGGCCGAGAGGCGTGCGTTTGTGTATAACGACACCGGCCTGCAGCCGTGGACCCCGTGCGAGTATAAAATCCACGCGTGGAATTCCGCGGGCCACACCCGCAGCTCATGGACCGCGGCGAGGACGATGCCGGCGCCCCCAGAGGGCCTCTCCCCGCCCGTGATCACCTACATATCTGTGGATCCCCCAAAGCTGCTGATCGCCTGGGTCCCTCCAGAACAGCCTAACGGGGTCATTCGGTCCTACCGGCTTCACAGGAACGGGGTGCCCCATCCTTTCAGCTTTGACGCCCAGACTTTCAACTATACGGACCCGGACGTGCTTCCCTTCTCCACGTACAGCTACGGGGTCACAGCCTGCACACGCGGGGGCTGCCACACCAGCAAACCCACCAGCACCACCACCCCCGAGGCCGCTCCGGCGGGGGTCGGCCCGCCAGCCCTTCAGGCCGTCGGTGCCACTCGGATCAACGCGTCTTGGTCGCCACCATCAGCACAGAACGGAAAGATCACTAAATATTTACTGAGGTGTCAGGGTCAGGAGTACCTTGCCGGGCAGAACCTGTCCCTGCTGGTCCCCCACCTGCAGCCCTATACTCAGTACAGCTTCTCCCTAGTGGCCTGTACGAACGGGGGCTGTACAGCCAGTGTGTCCCAATCTGCCTGGACCCTGGAGGCCCCGCCCCAGGACATGGACCCTCCAAAGCTGCAAGTCATGGGCTCCGAATCCATAGAAATCACCTGGACGCCTCCCAGAAACCCCAATGGCCAGATCAGAAGTTACGAAGTCAGGAGGGACGGCACCATCGTCTACACCGGCCTGGAAACTCGATACCAGGACTTCACCCTCAGGCCCGGGGCGGAGTACGGCTACGCGGTGACTGCCACCAACAGCCAGGGTGGGATTTCGAGCCCCGTCGTCAAAGATCGAACCAGCCCCTCGGCGCCTTCAGGGATGGAGCCTCCGACAGTACAGGCCAGCGGTCCTCGGGAGATCTTGGTGAGCTGGGACCCGCCGGTGAGGACAAGTGGCCCGATCGTCAACTACACCCTCTTCGTCCGTGGGCTGCTCGAGAGGGAAACGCAAGTCGTGCCCGTGAATGCAAGTCACCGATCGTTTGGGACCCGCGCGTTCAGGGTAGACCAGCTGGAGCCGTCTCACAGGTGGGCAGCTCACCCTGTAGGTCTGTCGAGAGCAAGCTGGGCTGGGGAAAAAAAAATTAGATTTATCTAATAAAACCTAGGCATGATTTATCTAATAAAACCTAGAGAGATGTCTCTTCAGTGTCCACAGTCACTGAAGATGTAAACGGCTTGAAAACTGAAGTCAGAAGGTCACTTCTGTATGAAGATGGGATTCTCGTAGTTTTGGCTTTTCCCCAGCAGTTTAATGTTTAGTGAACACTGTGGGTGAGTGTGTGCTCCTGGGGGTACCGCCCCCCCACCGGGTCAGTAGGAAGGAGGAGACTGGGAGTCCCTGAGTGGCAGCAGGAATCGGGCCCGGAAATTTTAAAACTATCCCAGATGATTCGGAAAACAAATAATCCAGCTGTGGGAAATCAAAGCTGACTTCAGAGAATCGCTCAGAAGTCACATCTGGACACAGTGGTGGATTTGCTCACCCCTAACCTGGTGGCCCATCACGGGAGCGACGGGCATGAGAGGGAAGGGAAAGAAAGAGGGACAGAGACGGAACGAAGGACATCACAGGGGGAGAGTCAAGTGGCCTAAAAAGGGGAAAGGGAAATAGCAGTGATTAGAGGAGGAAATGTGGAAGGCGGGAAACAGGAGAGAAAAAAGCCAGCCCCCCCCCTGCAAAAAAAATAAATAAAGGGAAAGGTAAGATGCTGGAGGGAAAGTTAGGGGTGCCGTGCAATCTGTGGGGCAGGGAGCAGAGGCAGAACACCCCCATTTGCAGCCGTCGGCACTCACGGCTCACAAAAGGCCCTTTTCTTGGAAGGGGACAGCCCCTGCTATGCAGAGACCCTGCCAAGTGGCGGGAGACCGGCTGGGAGGCAAAACGTAATTGATTGGTTGAGTTTAACGGGGTGCTGATAAGGTGTCTCCGTGATGGATCATCTAGTGTGCGGCTGGGTTAACTTTGGCCCCGAAAGGTCTCGGTGTGTTGTAAGGGAGCCTGTTGTGAAATGTCAGGTATCAGGTGAGGGGATTTATTACCAGGGAGGCCATGGCTCCTGGGTGTTCCTTCAAGACCTGGGGACATGCCCGGGGAGTCCTGGAGCTCTGGCGGCAGAGCCAGGGAGAGCCCGGGACTGCTGGAAGCTGGCTCAGATTCCCCAAGATCCGCCTTCGTCAGCACCACGCGCAGTAACTCTGCAGACGGAAAGGATCTGCACGCTGGAGAGAGTCTTGGACGTTTCTTTGTCCCACACACTCCTGTTCAGGGAAGAACTGTGTCCGCCCCTTTCCGGACAAGCGAGAGCCTTTATTTTGGAAAGACAGGAGGTATTTCAGATGTTCTAAACTTTCTATGGAAACGTGACTTTGTTGCTTGTGTTTTAAAATTTTTTTTAGTTGATTTTCGAGAGAGAGGAAGGGAGAGGGAGAGAGAGAGAAACATCAATTGGCTGCCTCCTGCACGCCCCCTACTGGGGATCGAGGCTGCAACCCAGGCATGTGCCCTTGATGGGGAATCGAACCGCTGACCTCTAGTTGCCCAGGACAGTGCTCGACCAACTGAGCCACACCAGCCGCACGACTATGTTACTTTTTAAAAGGGTCGGCTCGCGATAAGAATAAATATGAACTAAACTTGCCTTTTTATCAGAACCCTTGATATTTTTAAGATTCTTCCAGTGCAAGCCTATTTTGCCGATAACAGGTCATCTCTGCCTTGTGTCCTGAAGGTATGAAGCACGAATTCAAGCCTGCGCCCCTCTGGGCTGCGCGTCCAGCGACTGGGCCTCCGTGCAGACCCCCGAGGCCGCCCCTGCGATGCAGCCCCCCCCACACCTGGAGGTGCGGGTGGCCCCCGGAGGCTTCCAGCCCACCGTCTCCCTTTGGTGGACAGGCCCGCTTCGGCCAAACGGCCACGTTTTATACTATGAATTGTACAGAAGGCAGACGGCAGCTCGGCCCGGCCCGCCCAGCGCGGTGCTCGCCTATAATGGCAGTGCGGGCTCTTTCACGGATTCCGAGCTCGCGCCCTTCACGGAGTATGAGTACCAGGTAAGAAGCCCGCACCAGCGCCCGCACGTCGGGGCCTGCCTGGCAAGCGTGCTTGCAGCTGAAAATCGCTTAAAGAAACGAGGGGCTGGAGGAGCTTAATAATATCTTTGAGTAACTTTTAAGCAGTAAATGAGGGAGGGAAGACCACATTCTTTTCCCTTCTTCATTGTCTTTGTGTTTTTTAATATGTTTTTATCGATTTCAGAAAGAGGAAGGGAGAGGGAGAGAGAGAGAAACATCTATGATGAGAGGGTCATTGATCGGGTGCCAAAAACGGGGAGCAGGAGGAGTCAGAGCTGAACTCTGCAGACAGGCCTCGTGGGACACAGCAGGGCGGGGAGTGGGTGCAGAATGGACCCAGCATGACCCCCCGCTCCCCAGATTGGCCCTGCTGCTCAGTGTCATCACCCAGCTTGTGACAGGGCCTTCCCCAGGAGAACCCTTTCTGGTAGAGGACCCCCTGGCTAACGGCGGCTCGCTACTCTACGATTATTGATAAAACACTAAGTAATCCTGAAGGCTTAAGAGAGGATCCACTTAGATACTTGGACTAATGGTACATTTCCATTAAATTCAAAATAAATGTCTTTGTATGAAGGAATCATATCTATAGGTGGAAACAAAAAGCTTTAACCTGTTTACGTAAACCCGATGCCTTCAACTGAAATCTCTAGGAAAATGGTTGAGACTTTATCTTGTCAATCGATTTGCCTCTCTCTTGATGGCGTCCGATCATTACTCAGATGCCTCTAAGTATCTGGGAAACTGCACAGTTCTCTCCTTGATGCCCGGAGGCATATTTGTCATGAAAACTGGAAATAATTTTTTTTTTTCTCTGAAGAATCCATCGAATTACTCAATGTCTCCTTTTGCTTATACTGTGGGATGCTTTTGAAAATTTTTAATTGATTAGGCAGCGTAGAGAATACCATCCAGTCAGCAGATTTCGATGTAGAAGCAGCATTTGTGAAAAACCAGGCTTCCATTTCTTCTGACCCTCAAAGTTCTAGAATGGAGGGGCCCTCAAGGACGCACGGAGAAAAGGGGCTGAACCCCGAATGCTGTGGGGGGGTTCTGTTGTTGATTCATAGCAGCCAGGGTGACAGTTGCTGTTTAGTCCCACCCTCTCTTCCAAATCTCTCCCAACTTGTTACACAAATAATATATAATAGTCATTTGTACTTATTTAGTGTTTGCTATGTGCTAAGAACTATGTTAGAATTTTACATGTATGAACTCATAGCAACCACTTGAGATACGGGTTATTACTAATAATAATCCTTAGACATCTGAAGATTTGAAAGATCAGTTAACATGCCCAAGGAGATAGTTGGTGAGCGGATGAGCTCGAATCTGAACCTTGAGATTCAGGTTCCAAAGACTGTTTTTTAAAATTCACTCCACGGTTGCTCCAAATTGCATTTACATACAACTTGGGAGATCTCAAAAATCTTAATAAAATATTTATAAATGTATTTATTTACCACTCATTTCTTCATAAAAGTATAGAAAATGTATTGCATGTAAATCTCAAAATCGTCCTATGAGGCAGGTAGTGTTTTTTCTTCTGTATAATCAAGAAGCTGAAAGATTGAGCAAGTTACCTGGTCAAAAAAAAAATAGCAGAGTCAGAACTCGGGTGTTGGCTTTCTGACCCCAAGTTCAGTCATCATTCTGCTGAACCCCAGCTTCTTCAGGCCACCCCCATCAGGAACAGGAACCCCTGACCCTGCGAAGATAAACGGTTTGGGATTATAATCTGGGCAGCATGCTGAAAAAAAAAAATCAGATAGTTAAACAGTTAAATAGGTAGCTACACAGAGCTTTTCAGCTAGTTACCCCTTGAGGATGCTAGCCTGCAGGGCTGCTCATGAAATAAAACAATCTTGTCATTCTGTCATTTCAGACATACCTGCCTCCTCTTTTTAGCCATGAGCCTTTCTGACCACAATTCTGGCAAAGCCCAGTTTGTCATACTGCTCTTCAAACTGATTCAAAAGCCAAGAGGGGCTCCCCTTTCAAAAGGCATGGGCGTGAGTGCCCCGGGAAAACACACTCCAAGGTTGTAGATGAATTGATATGATTTTGTTGATTGTATCTTTTTATTTATGAGGCATAATTTATGAGCACTGGAGAGCAAACTGCGATGAGTGATGACTCACCACAGCCAAAGTCATAAATCAGGAGCAGTGAAAGAGATGGGGATTTTGATCGAATCTATTGAGTTAGCTGTTGGCCTTCGCCAATACAGGTATTGGAAAGACCTTTGTAATATCTACTTGTCTCCCTCGTGGGAATGTGATAAAATCTCATTACATGCCCGGAGGAAACAAATAATTTAATTGTTTGCCTGTTAACACACAACCTATTTACTCTAGTTATTAATTATGGGCATGGCTGTTGGTGTTGGATTTTTATTTAGGATGTGAATTGTCAGGGAAACATATTTATGTGCTCCAGTTTTTATAAACAAAGATGTGGCCTCCTAGTGCTGCTTGATATTGCTGTGTGCTCAGTGTTGTCAGAATGCTTTTTATTTTATCAAAAGCTGTTGTGTTCACCCAGCCGGGGTGGCTCAGTGGTTGAGCATCTACCTATGAACCAAGAGGTCACCAGTTCGATGTCCAGCCAGGGCATGTGCCCTGGTTGCGGGCTTGATCCCCAATAAGAGGCAGCTGATGGATGTTTCTCTCTCATCAATGTTTCTCTCTATATATATCTCTCCCTTCCTTTCTCTCGAAAATCAATAAAAACATGTATTTTTTTAAATGATCATATTCCACATGGAAGCATCTTAGAGAGTATCCCAGAAGAACTTGCAAAGACCTCAGAAATGCCTCCGTATCTTAATCCTCCGAGAGGAACTGTTATAATTTAACTCATAATAAGCAGCCTGGAGAAAGAGCAGAATCTCAAATTGCCCCAAGAACAAGGACAGTCACTGCCACTTACATTAGGAGTCAACAGCTTAGGGGATTTTTTTGAGTAAAAGCGCTGATTGAATTTGGCATTCCTACATTCCATTTTTGTACAGAAACGATAGCAAATAGGGTCTCAGAGAGACATCAGCTGGATTCCGATAGTATAGAAAGTATGTTCCTTTGCCTTTCTCAAGACTTGCAGTGTTTCTTCAGCCAAAGGAAATATTTTTTACAATTAAGGAGATAGTTTTCTATAATATGATGAAGAAAAAACACACCAGGAATCCCTCAGAAATTTACATTAAGAATTTCTCTTTGTACAAAGGCTACACTTGGAAAGTATGAGTCACAAAGAATGTTATTTTGGAAAGCTATGAACCATTGAGTGAGACAGGCGTTGAGATGAGAACTGCTTACAGTGAAGTGTGGAAATGCAGGAGAGTAACCAGCGCAGTAACAGGAGCCCCCATAAGGCTCCTCTTCACCCATCCTCTGCAGGGCCATTGCTCCGTCTCTCTCTTTTATAAAATTATTACGAATAGATGAATAGAATGGAATAGAGCAAAATGGAACAGAATAGGAGATAGATAAAGTAGGCAGTTCTATGTCTGTTCATAAGATATTTCATTTCTTGATTTTTGTATCGGTTCGTTGAAATGAAAAGATCCGGGCATATTGCTCAACATTGCCCACGCAAGATCTCTGCTTTTTTCCCCTCCACCCTATGAAGGTGGGCCCAAATCTTGAGGCCACTATTTCTCAGTAGAAATCATAAGAATCATCTGTTCACATGTTTATCCTGAACCCTGAACTCCACTCCAGTTCCTTTATCTCCTGTTTGGCTGAGTTGATTCAAAAATCCACAGCACCTTTTGAGTACAGGGCTTTTACCACAACAGAGAGAGGCGGAGAAAATATCAATTTCTCTTCTCCATTTCTGCTGGGGGTTGTGCATAACAGAAACGCTGCCTCGAGGTTCAAGTTTTGCAGAATCCGTAAAGCTCATTATCTCAGCCGGCTTCCTCTCCTTCGCGACTGCTTTCATTTTCAGAGCGGCTCATGTAAATAGCTGATGTGCTTTGCATAAGCGTGTTGATTTCGATGAGTGCTATTTTGATCTCAAATTGATTGAATACTAAAAAGAAAGCCTAGGAAAAAAAGAGCGCTATGTTATGAAGGTCTCCCGTCAAAGACACAGACACTGGCTCCTTCATCCATTCCCAGGGAAGGGAGAGGGGTTTCCTGTTGCCTCGCTTTTAGAAGAGACTCTTTCCATAGAGATACAGCAAAACATGATGATATTGAGACCCAGGGTATCTTGAAAACACCATGGGTTAAAATCACATTTGGAAGGACTCCACCCAGTAAAGGTTCAGGAAGGCAGGTGTGAGGTTTAGTCCTTTCACCCAACACCAGCATTAAAAAGCCTTCGTGGTTTTCACGCCCCTGTATCTACATCAGAAGGGAAAGCAAAGTTCACGTGCGTAACGCTGGGCCTGTGCTAAGCACTTTCTCTGAATGATACTTATTTCATGTTGTGCCCGCACTTTTGCGCTCTCACTGGTGCTAGGAATCAATGGACAGCTTGCTGAGTTTTTATTTCCTGACACCTACTTTCACTTTCCCCATATTTTTCCCATCCATTGTGAGCCCCTCCCAAACTCTATAGGCCCTTAAATCACCAACCAAAGCCCTACTCTTTTAAATATGGGGCTCTGGCACTCCCATCAGCAAGGGGCTGGGGATTTGCATCTGACAGCCATCCAAGAGCAATTCAACATCAGAAGTTTTACTTTTACAAAGGAATCCACCTCCTCCAAAAAAATGTATGGGAACAGTCATAGGAGTTGGCCTAACAACTAGTAATCTCTCCAGTGTCTATTGTCTTGACAATATTATTGATGCAAAAGCAAAACAAAAACTACACTGAACTCTCACTGCAAGGTATTCTCCTACAGTTTTTTCTAAATGGCTCAGGTTTTTGAAAGTTCTGCATGGTTTTTTAACACCGCACACCTACAAAGTGTGGACTGTAGACTCAAACGAATTCTCGAGCTGTGTCTTTAAAAGCTCAGGGCAAGTGTGGATGGTTGGTTGGTTGGTTGGTTGGTTGGTTGGTTGGATGGATGGATGGATGGATGGATGGATGGATGGATGGATGGATGGATGGATGGATGGATGGATAAGTGGATGGATAGATGGATGGATGAGTGGATGGATAGATGGATGGATGAGTGGATGGATGGATGGATGAGTGGATGGATAGATGGATGGAGAGATGGATGGATAGATAGATATAAAGAAAGAAGACACCAAATGAGAGAAAAATTTCCTGAACTTAGACTGCACAAGATGAGAGCTTTCTGAGGAATACAGGTACTCCTAAACACGCAGTCTTCTTGTATTGTCACTTAGATCTATCATTCTGATTGATCACTGTGTAGTTGGCTGTTATTGGGCCTAATTTAACCCTATACACTCGCACATCCATCTATTCTGTCTATTGTACCTGACATCCTACAAATTACTTACTCATGCAGATGATGACCCAAGGCAACCTTTTAGGATATTCGTGTTTAATTATACAAATAGTTCTTGATAAATAAGATTATACATCCTTCCATATGTTTATTCCCTCCTTGATGAAAGGAAAATCTAATTTTCATGCAGATTCGGTGGGGACAGTGTTTAAGAATTGCTGAGTTTTGAGTCATCTGCAGAGCCGTCCGGTTTGCAGAAGCTGACAAAAATCCCACCACCTTCTATCCAGAGACAAGCCATTTTCCATCAGGCTTAAATCAGCAGCTGCATTCTGAAACCAGGGCTCCCCAGCAGCCCCCTCTGTGTTCACACGGGCAAAGGCAAAAAAACGAGGAAAGACCCAATTGCCTTTGTGATCACAGGGTTGCAGGATCAAAGTCTCTCTTGTTCCGTGGTGTTACGTCGCTGTGGGCTGCCAACTTTGTTTTCAGCCTGAGGTTATCTTGCTTTTGACCAGTCGTCTTGATTTCTCTTTGAAGGTCTGGGCGGTGAATTCAGCAGGGAAAGCTCCCAGTAGCTGGACGCAGTGTAGAACGGGACCCGCCCCCCCAGAAGGCCTCAGGGCCCCCAGGTTCCACAAGGTGTCTTCCACTCAAGCCGTGGTCAACATCAGCGCCCCTGGGAAGCCCAACGGCATTGTCAGCCTCTACAGGCTGTTCTCGAACAACACCGGTGGGGTGGAAACCGTGGTGAGTAGAGGGGTGCCCTGAGCTGATAGTCCGGGACTGATTTATTTATCTATTTGTTTTTAAGTAAACCATGATGGCCTTGTATTTTTTCCTCCCTGCTCTTTCTTATCTATCTGTTCTTGGTGGCCCAGTGGTGAACTTAGTGGCACAGTGATCCCTATGAGAGGAAATAAGGATGGGCAGTAGGACACAGGCAGAAAATATGTCAGTGTCCAGGGAGAGAATTTCTGAAGGTGTCATTAAAGACTCCACAAAGGTTGTGAGAAACCTAATGCTTCAGGGATACTAAAATCAAATTAATTCGGTTAGAAAACACACATCAAGCACTTAAATGTTGAGTGGTCTATGGTCAGGGGCAGACAGATGGCCATTGGTGGTGGTGTAAATGTTGCTATGGAAGAAAAAAAAAAATAGAGCAAAGAATGTTCTTGGAATCCTCCTTTTGGCATTTGAAGATCTCTGATAGCACCAGGAAGCTCAGTGTTTCTTTTGGTGAGTTTGAGAAAGTTCTAGCACTTTTGGAAGAGACTGCAAAACAGCTCAGTCTAGAGCCACAGTTTGCATATCCACACATTCGGGGCCCATCGGGGAGACGGGATGGATTGTGGAAAATCACCTTTCCCATAGCCAGTGGCCGGAAGGGTCACTAATCAATGAGACCAGCTCCTGCGTTGTTCAAATGGAGAGAATGAGAGCCAGTGCGAGGAAGTCTTTTCTCTGCCACTCTTAAGTTTCTCCTGTGTAAGGATAAATTATAATACGTGGTGCTCACAAACCTCATAGGGAAATTGTGCAGGTCCCAGGATCACATTATACATCATTTAGACCAGTTTAGGGAATGATTTGGGCGAGTGTGGAGAGGTCCTCAGAGGCCGGAGTGCCAGGTGCTGACACGCAATTTCACAAGATAACTCTCGGATCCAGGGAAGTCTCCTATTGAATGTTAAAGGGACATTAGCATATTTTCTACAGGGCTTCGTAGTCAATAAATATAGATGATGTAAATACAATCAACCCTTGATTATCCATGCTTATAAAATGATGATATTAATAAAGTAAAATAATTTCTATTTGGAGCGCATTGTATGCAGTTTTCTCAATAACAGATGGCTCTTCTTAATTGTATGTTGTGTACGTCGGCGTGAAAATTAGTTTCCAGGTTCTGAAGGCTGCTGTTCCAAAGAGTACTTAGTGGGGAAAAAAAAAAAGAAATTTGCTCCAAATAAACTGAAAGGTTTATAATACAACACGGATAATTGAGAAAAAGACCAGGATATTTCATATACCCAACACCCTCAGAGAAAAAGATGGAATCTCAAACTCTTAAATATATATAAAATATGCAGTATGTAAAATATAGAAATATATCAAATATATATATTTCAAGCTCTTAAATATTCAACTCTAACATGAATTTGAGGGACTTTTGACCCCAAAAAATTACATGCAAATAACAACGGCAGATTATGGACTTTAGTGAATGTTGACTTTGAGTATAATTCAGATATAGATTTTTTTTTTTTAAAAAGGCATCATTCTGAGGGTCACAGAGTTTGACCAGTATTTTGTGCGTTTTGTGCCATTCTCTATTATCTTTCTATGGTGATGGACAGCGTGTGCCTTGTGATGTCTGTCCTGTTGCCTCCCACTTCTGTCTGTCAAATCCTGACATTTTGCCTGTTTGAGTCGCGCCTCTGCAGTGGGTCAGTCGGTCATCCCTTGAGGGTTAATACTAGCTCCATCCTCGGTGCGTCCCCCAGACTGCCTGGCGTGGCGCTCTAGTCACGGGAAGTGGGGTACAGGGTGCAGATCGGTCCCTGGCCTGAGGCCTGGGCACGCCTCATCGCGTCTTCTCTGTCCCGCAGCTGTCCGAAGGCCTGGCCACCCAGCAGACCCTGCAGGGCCTGCGGCCCTTCACCTCCTACTCCATCGGGGTGGAGGCCTGCACCTGTTTCAACTGCTGCAGCAAAGGGCCCACGGCGGAGCTGCGGACGCACCCCGCCCCACCCTCAGGGGTGCCCTCCCCCCAGGTCCAGGCGCTGGCCTCCAGGACAGCCTCCTTCCAGTGGAGCCCCCCGCTCTACCCCAATGGTGTCATCCAGAGGTAACTGGCCAGCCTGAAGGACCAATCTACCAAGATAAGACTTCCCCGCAGACACACCCAGCTGCCCCCCTAGAAAGACTTGCATGCTGAACAGATACCTATGGCAAATGGGACACTGTCAGTTCCAATGGTAATGTTCCCTGGAAAGTGTTTCCATCGTAATATCAGCGGAGGAGAGACAGGAGAGCCACAAAATCGTCATCACAGGAAAGGCGGCTCCCGTTCGCGCTTATTGAAGGATTTCTCTTCCCCACCCCCCGTGGTTCTCAAATTGTCCATCCAGTAGCCTCTGCTGGGATGTAAATTCCATGCCCAAGTCATCATTTTCTTATCTGATTTTTATTTTATTTTATTTTATTTATTTTATTTTATTTTATTTTATATTTTATTTTATTTTATTTTATTATTTTATATTTTATTTTATTTTATTTTATTTATTATAATATGTCTTTACTGACTTCAGAGGGAGGGAGAGAGAGGGAAACAGCAATGATGAGAGTCGTCGATGGGCTGCCTCCCGCATGCCCTTCTGTCCCCTGATGCGTCCATTCTCCTTCCAGCTACGAGCTCCAGCTGCACCGGGCCTGCCCTCCCCATGCAGACGCGCCCTGCACCCCCAGCCAGGCGGAGACCGCGTACAGGGGCCCGGGGCCCAGCGCCAGCCTGGGGGGCCTCCAGCCCTACACCACCTACAGGCTGCGCGTCGTGGCCCACGGCCAGGCGGGCAGTGCGGCCTCCGAGTGGGTCAGCTTCACCACCGAGAAAGAGCGTGAGTGGAGGTGCCCGCGCCCCGGCCAGAGGCCCCGAGGGCAGGGGGCCAGTTTTAGGAAAGGGTTGGAGGGAGGTTCCGTTTCCTTGGCCGCTATTGTGATGGCAACGGAGACGAGTGTCAGAAAATCCTGCCTCTTGCCTTTAATGATGTGGAGGCCAAGGGCCGATTTAGGAAGATTTTTTGCGTAGCTGTGGGGTGAAAGCCAGCTTAGGGGAAGCTGATGCATGGGAAGGAGGGAAATGGAGAGACAATTAAGATTTTTTTTTTTTTTTTTTTAACATTTGTCACTCCTGTTGGTTGGTTAGTTGGTTGGCTTTTAATCCTTACCTGAGGATATTTTTTCCATTGCTTTTTAGGAAGTGGAAGGGGGAAGAGAGAGAGAGAATCAGATAGATTTAATTTTCAAAGAAAGATATCCAGTTTATTTCCAGGACTCCTTTCTTTTCTTAAAAGCCAATTTAGTATATAGATGGATCTTAACCCTGTTGCAAATGTATTATTTTGGAGACGACGGGATCTCATGAAATAAATCTCTTCTGACTTGATGACATGAGATTCCTTCATTTGTTTCTACAAAAAATTTTGCATTTAAAAGAGGAGCCTCAGTTAAGGATTCTTTTTCCTTTGTTATAGTCAGGAGCGAAAATATAAAAGGAGATCGTGCCTGCAAAACGCTCACAGCGTAGCTTCTGTATCTGATATAATACTTAGGCGACCGAGCTTGATTATATACTAATGCACCATACACCTGATTGATTAGCCGGGGCGATGAATTATTACACTCGCCTTACTATCTACAAAGCTCTTTCATACTCTTAGGAAACTAACTAACGGTTCCAGAAAAAGCTTTAAAAATAAATGGGTGCCAAACGGAAATAATTCACCATCTTAAGCAGTTTGGCTTGGAGAGAAAAAAAAAAGGGAAA